ATATCTACGATGGAAAATTTGTTGTTTTCAGCATTTTCTATGAACCTCTCATATCACATAAATGTGCATTGTTGTTCATGTGATTTTCGTTCATGTGTTAAAAACACAATAAACATTTTTGAATGAAAAGTTGTTGTAGGGATATTGTAAAAATATATCAACGGTTGATATTTCACAAACGTACTTTTTAATGCTTTTTATGTTTTTATTTTGCATTAAACATCATTGTTTTAACTCACAATTCAGCTGACTTTATATAATGCCTATGTTATTTGCTCTAACGATAGTAATGATAAGGTCCAAATGTAATTTCTACACTGGGATCCCTTTCTGACTTTGTCTACCTCCGGATGGAGCCACTATATCTATTGCTGGGTACATCACTTAGAACTACTTGTTTGTGACTGCAGGTAATTATAAATGTTATATTTGTATCAAAAAAAGTAGTATGACCAATGCTTGGTCATAAGCAATGCCACAGGATTTACAAATATACTGTATACTGCATACACTGTATAATATATATAACCACACTTGACATTGTGGCAGGGCCGGACTGACCATTTGGAAACTCGGGCACTACCCGAGGGCCCGGGGTCAGTAGGGCCCAATGAGATTCCACTGGTACCTTTTTCATAGGTTTTTTGAGTTTGGGCAAGGACACAGGTGCCCCATGATCCCCTATTGCCCGGGGGCCCCATGAGTTGTCAGTCCACCCCTGCATTGCGAACACTATACATGATTAACCTGCCCCAAGATACTTCCTTGAAGTACGCTCCCATCTTCCCCCCAGACTTGATGGCCTCTCAGGTGCAAACATGGCATCAGGGATTTGATGTTTAAATACAGCAGCTGTAATAGATGATTCTGTAAAAAACAGACACTTATAATTCACTCATTTTTCCCCTTTTCCCCTAACTATTATTTTCCTGCAGATCTTTTATTTTTTATATTCTCCTAACCAATTAAAAGTGAGGTACAGGGTATGAAGAAAAAGAAACATTCATATTCACCTCCATGGATGCCACATTGATCCGATGCTGTTTCCATCCCCAGTGACCTCTACACTGAGAACTGAACAATAAAGACCGCTGATCGCTTAGTTCTTGGTCTTCAGTGAGCAGAGAGGCAGTGTATGTCAGCCACCTCGTCTATGCTCTGCTCCTCCAGTGCACCTCTCACTAAATAAAATAGTTTGCTTACAGTTCTGTTCATGCACTGTGTTTTCTTTGCTTTTTTTCAGAAAGTATACCCCTGTCGCTTTCATGGCGCTTCAAAGCATATCCAAAGCCTACAAAAAAGTCTATCACAGAACTCCCTAACAGCTCCTGCAGAATTTTAGAGGCATTCATTCAGAGTTATTTCAACTTGTTTTTATTGAAAATTTTCAGTAAATAATAAAGAACAACAAATTTGTATCTGGTTCCTCTTATACATGTAAGGATAAATACAGAAGGCAAGGTAACATTTTGAGTATTGGTATTGTGGTGGTCCCAGGGGCGGACTGACCATTTGGAAACTCGGGCATGCCCCTGGTACTTTTTTTTTCATAGGCTTTTTTGAGTTTGAGCAAGGACACAGGGGCCCCATGATCCCCTATTGCCTGGGGGCCCCCATGAGTTGTCAGTCCGCCCCTGGGTGGTCTCCTACGTAGGTACAGAAGGGGGGACCATATGCCTTAAAAATTGGTATTGTAGGAACCCGGGGGGGGGGAGTTGGGGTAGGGTAGGAGAAGGTTGGGTAGGGGAGGGAGGTGATGGGAAGTGTAGGAAGGTATGGGGGGAGGGAAAAAAAAACATTATAACATTATAACTAAGCCAATCATTAAATATCTATCAAGTCTAGAGTATGCAGTTAGGATTAAGTGACCATAGAGACCATGCTTTATGGAATTTGGTGTTGGAGAGTTGTAAGAGAGCGAATCTTCTCTCCAAATCATATTGGGTGTTTATATCGAGTATTACTTTAGTTAAAGAGGGTGAGTCTAGAGGTTTCCATAGTTTGGCAAGGTTATTTTTTGCTGCAAATAGGGTATGGACAATAATGGTACGTGATTTTGGGGGGAATTCATCAAGCCCAATATGAAAAATAGAGCCAGTGATGGGTTAGGTGTAACCTTGTTTTTTTTTATTATTTCTAAGATTAAAATAAATATATTATTCCAGAAGCATCTAATTGATTTCCACGACCAGGTTATTCTGGGAGTGTCTGGTGCAGATGTCACATCTGGTGTGCAGCCTGCAGTAGAAAGGTTAGCAGGGTCTGGACAGGAGCAGAGGCACCAGCAGACTGCATATGTGGTGCCCAATATAGGAATATAATAACAGAAGGTGAATGGGGACCAAAGAAATAAAACTGAGTGGCAGAGGATCAGCAGAGCTGGGGGACCGGAGCAGGAGAAACTAGCAGATGTCACACCTGGTGAGCAACAATATAGCGGGAGGTGTGCGGGGACCAGAGACAGGAGGATAAGCAAACAGGAGGATCAGCAGAGCTTGGTGTTACTACTGAGTTGGGGGATCAGCAGAGCTGGGGGTTACTACTGAGTTGGGGGATCAGCAGAGCTGGGGGCTACTACTGAGTGCAGGGGTACAGAAAAGATGTGGGTTACTAATGAGTGGGGGGATCAGGAGAGCTGGAGGTTACTACTTAGTAGGAGATCAGTAGAGCTGGGGGTACTACTGAGCCAGGGATCTGCTGAACAAGGGTTCTAATGAACTGGGAATCTGTTGATCAGGGGTGCTAATGATTTGAGAATCTGTTGAACGAGGATACTAATGAGCTGGGGGTATTACTGAGTTGGGGGTACTTATGAGCCGGGGTTCTACTTAGCCCATTGAAAACAAAAAGAAAATCAATACACACAGGGCATTTCTCAAGCTTCATTTAAGCTTCAAAAAAGCATCACAGAAGCATCAAAACACATAAAAAAGCATGTTGAAACAGTAGGTTCTTTAACCTCCCTAGCACTCTGATTATGTCCATATTTCTGTGCTCAAAGCGGTACATTTTTTTGCATGGAAATATGTATTTTTTTGTTGTAGGCCTGTAATTTTTAGGAATAACTCACTGAAATCTGTCCGAACAAGAGTCTAGTACACATCCCGGGTATGATAAAATTTGAAAAACGAAATAATAAATTATAATATAATAAATAATTATAAAAAATAATAATATAGTAATAATAAAATTAATTCAATAATATAATCAAACCAAAAACACTGAAATGTGAAATAGAGCGCCAAGTTTGCACATCGCTGAGCAAAGTCGCAGAATCGTTTTCAGTGTCTGATGAGGAATTTCCCCCACAAATCATTATCACTCAATTCTGCAAGTGGTTCTGATTTACTATCGCTGTTCTCTAGCTGATTTAAAACTGATTTTGACCTAAAGGGACGCTTTTTGGACACCATGGACGTTTCTCAGTTTCCAGGCAGAAAGAACAGTAAAAATGCAGGCAGGGCGCCGGACAAAGCACTCGGGACAAAATGTATGTGAAATGGTTTGATACAGGAATGTTATACTATGTGATTTTAGTGTATTGAGTGAATGTTACTTTTTAAATTTTTTGAATTTCCTGCCAGTTCTGTCCCCCGTACGTCCTGACGTCGCGGAACGGAACCCGGAAGACAGATGCCGGCATCAGCCAGAGGAGATGGCCGGGGACACTGCAGGGGGGACATCGCGGGAGCGCAGGACAAGGTAAGTGAAGAAGGAATCCCGGAGCAACGCTGCAGTGTATTCCTGAGTGTAGCTCGGGGTTACCGCTTGTAGTGCTGAAACTTTATTTGGAGCTACACTTGGGAATACCTCCAGGGGGGTTAATGTGTGTTACAGCCAAGCATGTGTAAATGAGCCCTTAGAATCACATTAAAAAATACCAAATTAAAAAAAGCCTTTCATTTGTAAAAACTTATACACTGTTTTATACCAGAATCATAAATTTAGTATAGTTTAAACAGGACAAATTAAAATAAAATGTATACTTTTTATCTACAGTGACATTCTTTTTTTTTAAACTAACACTGATCAATGTAGAAAAAAAGTGTGATTTTGTTTTAGTTTTGTTATGTTTTTTGTCTACGGATTGCATAAAAAAATCACGTTTGGAAAACAATATCAACAAATGAATGCCTTGTTTGTCCTAAAAAAAATGATAGATGTATTACTTTGTTATTTTAAGTAATGACCGAACAAACAGGCCCAAATCAGAAATGAAAAATTGCTGAGCTCCTTAGGGGATGTGCAGCTGTGAGCGCTGAAGTGGTTAAACATATTCAGTAAAATTAAAACTGTAGAATCTCCAAAGCATATTAATTGCACTCCCGGGATGTGTAGCCATTACTGATATTATTAAAGAAGGAATATATAAATGCTTTGTGACCATTAATATTTTAGAACAATAAAAATATTAGATACAATTATGCTGGAAGCTCAGTCTTATATACGCAGTTTTATGTTTCTATTTTTTTTTTTTTTTGAACCAGAATATTTTTCATATTGGTCCCAGGTCAACAAAATTATAACTTTACCTTGCAATTCTGTTTTATCCCCCTCAGGATCAGATTTTGTGATCAGAGACAACTGATAAAGATTTTTTTTTATTTTACAGACATTCTATAAGCTACTATAATTCAGAATTGTTGATTGGTTAAAAATTGATTATATTTATTGCGCAGTGTTAGTGAAAAAAAAAAAAAACTTAAGATAAAGCAATCTATGATTTTTTTAAGAATAGTTATAAAGAATGGAACAGATTCTACGCTCAAAAAAATCCTATTAAAGCTAAATCCTGATTTTTGAAATGGCTTTTTTGTTTTATGTTGACAACAAATATATTTATCAAATGGTGATAAATAGGGATACACGGGAAGTATAAATTAAGCCTGGCCAATAGCATGCTTTTTATTAGGAATTTTAACATCAACATTTAGTGAAAAGAGTGAAAAAAGTTGTGTAGATCTTTATTTTTTTAAGTCTTTTCAGCCACAAAGATGAATATGACTAATGGAAATGTGACAACAGTAAATGAATTCTTTTTTCTGGGGTTCCCTGGACTTGGTGGGCTCAGATTTCTCCTCTTTTTTCTCATATTGTCTGCATATACTGTGACAGTGTTCCTAGATATGATGATTATTATATTAGTGTCAACCAAACAAAGTCTACATTCCCCCATGTACTTGTTCCTCAAGAATTTCTTATTTTCTGAAATGTGTTTAGTGACTGTTATTGTCCCCAATATGTTACGTATCATATGGAAGGATGGGGCCACCGTATCTGTCACTGGATGCATTGCTCAGAGCTACTTGTATGTGGCTTCAGGTTCCTCTGAGTGTTATCTGCTCACAGTAATGTCTTACGACCGATACTTGGCCATATGTAAACCTTTACACTATAATACAATAATGGACCACACCCTTCAATATTTCCTGAATATCTTTTGCTGGATGTTAGGTTTTCTTTTGACGTTGGTCACATTGAGTCTTGTGGCTTTACTCATGTTCTGTGATGAGTATATTATTGACCATTACTTCTGTGACCTTGCTCCTTTCGTGGATATTGCTTGTTCAGATACTTCCAGTCTGCAAATCGAGATCTATGTTCTATCTTTCCCCATGCTTGCTATGCCATTTCTATTAACTGTTGTAAGTTATGTGTGTATTTCTGTCGCCATCCTTAGAATGCCGTCTAAGGGCAGCAGGAAGAAAGCTTTCTCTACCTGTAGCACTCACCTCCTGGTGGTGGGGATGTTTTATGGAGCTGTGCTAATAAATTATTTTACTCCCGTAAGAGGACAATCTGTAGCCATCAACAAAATGCTATCATTAATATTTATTGTAATAACACCATTGTTCAATCCCATCATATACAGCCTGAGGAACCAGGATATGCATGCTGTCATAATCAGTTACATAGAGTCTTGGAAGTGAAGATCCCAACACTTAGAAATATTATTAGGATTTTCATAATACATGGCTCATCAAGTATTGTGACAAATTGTCCCTTTGTGATACCATTTTGCCCTTTCTGTTCTGGTTTTTATCCCCTTTGTAAAGCTGGACATGTTTTACAGACATTCTACACTGTTTGTTTAGGAAAATGTGACCTTGTAGTCTTTCACTTCTATAGAGTTCCTAGGTATTGTTGTATTGTATGGTTTGTTGTGGGTGGGGAAAACCTGGTGCCAGTCTGTCTGGTGGGGGTGGGGTGAAGTTGTATATACTGAGCTGTGTTTAATAAAGATTGTCAGTTTCACCCTACGCAAAGTTCTGACTCGTGTTTTTGGCTATAATACCTGCCTTGGGAGAATGCTGGAAGACTTGCCGGAAATGAGGACCATTGGGTGAGACGCACTGCTCCGCACGAGGAAGCCCAGGCGGAACGGTTCCGCCACAAGTATCATTTTACATCTTGGATTAAATTTTGTCAGATTGCTGGGTGCAGTTATGGTGTAATCTGCAAAATTGGCTTTTAGGGATGTTTCTTAGCCAGCGTGGGTGGTGGCAACTCCTATAATGTAAAAAGGAGTTGCCAGAGGTGGGTTTGGTGTATTTCTTGGCATGAATCTGATTGGTACTGTGATACATATCAAGGTCAAGAAATGCTAGGCGATCAATGTAGTCCAATGAGTAGGTCCTTAGGATCTCCCTGATTCGCTTCACACTGTAAAATTTTCAGTGCCGTATTGGGGCTTAGGTTTGAAGAAGGAGCTTACTGCATATGCTCTGAAATGCGTTACCACCCCTTTCTCTTGTCACATCCGATGTTGCACTCCATGCCTGGTTGTGGTTACAGAGATATCCCTACTCTGACTTCCTGACTCTCACGGACCGCACTGCCGCTGGACGGCTGGATGTCTCATCGGGAACTATGTATACTACACGATGAGCCTTTTTAACACTTTTATCCTGTAAGTGCAATTCACTAATTGTTCATAATAAATAGTTAATACTACACTTAAAGGCGCCATCCCTTTCTTTATGTTTATTGCATTAGAGCCGTGTCTCCACTCTAAGAAGAGCTGTCTCGGTGTTATTGCTTCCATCCATCCATCCCTGATATCCATACCTCACCTCCATCCCATATCCATGGAGGTTGGGCTCAAACAAGAGCACCCTATGGAACGTATACTTTTAGGATTTATATAGCGCCAACAGTTTGTGCAGCACTTTACAATATAAGGGAGACAATACAATTACAATACATTTCAGTACATAAGGAATAGGAGGGCCCGGCTCATGGAGCTTCATTCTCATAAATCACAACAAAACACAGCAATCAAAGTTGTAGACCTGGTTCACATCAGTGTGGCTTAGAAATCAAGCTACTCTGTGCAACTTCAAAGCTGACTATTCAGTGCAACTCCATTGTGGCTTGCTGACTCTCTGTGCAACTTCAACTTCAAGTTGCATAAACATAGTGCAGGAACCTTTTTAAAGTCTATGTGACTTCAGTGACCAATTTGAACAGTTCCATTGCCGGTATACAGGGGTGTGACTTGTCATGCGACTTTTAACTCTCAAGTTGCATGACAAGTTTCATTGGTGTGAACCAGCGCTTAGAGAGTTTCTAACAGTTTAGAAACACCTGCTGTTTGTTTAGAATGTTGGTAGACTGCCAAAATTCTGATGTAATAGAAAGTAATAGGAAAGAATTTAGATTTCTTTAAATCTGTTGTGAAGATTAATTCATTCACAAGGCCTACAGCTACAGAGATAATTGGGGTTTGTTTTAAAGTGTTTTGTAATGCTTGTTTAGAATATGTAAACTATTTTAAGTACATAGTCTAGGAATAGGCTTACTTGAAAGTGTATGTAAAGCCAAAGTTTTTTTAGGGGAGGATTAGAAGCCCTGTAGGGAGTTATTACTGTCTGTTTTCCTACAGGATAGAATGACCACCTAAGCTGACAAGAGTTTTACCCCTCCCTACTCTAGACCAAAAAATAATGTTTTATCTAGGAAGATGTAGATTACTTAGATACCTTTTACACTTTGGAAGAGCTGGAAGGAGTGTTGGATATACTTCATATTGATAAGGCCCCACTAGTAGATAATATAAATGCATCCTTTAAGCTAAATCAACTTCCAGCCATTTTGTATGAGGTGATATTGGTAAAAGGAAAGGGGGGGTGTATAGGAGGGGCACAAGCCAGTGACCACCTCCAGCATCTCCCCCAACCCAGTACAGAGTAGGGTATCAGTAAGATCCGAATTCTCTTAGGGTGATGGAAGGGACAGAAGTCCAGGTCAGTGGTTTCCTTTTACAACGTGTAGCTATGCAGGATTTTCCATTAAATGTGCTTCTTCCCAAAATCCTTAGTCATTTGGAAATGAGGAGCAGGACCAGGTACACATGAATTTTGAAGGGTTATCTTGCAATTCACTATCAATTCTTCCATCTCTACTCTTTTATGTGGTCAGTTGAGCCAGTCCCAAATAGTCATGGTTTGAGTTGTGCCCCATTGTACCGATACACAAAGCTTAGCTGCATTCACCATATGCATCGCCAGCAAATTCAAATATATTTTTCTAGGGAGAGATGAGTGGTGTAAAAGGAACTAGGCTGGGTAAAATCCTGGGTGTAGGTGGTGACCGAGGATATGATATGGTGGACCATGAGGGTTGGAGAATCGGACAGGTCCATGATATGTGTAGTAGTGTACCTTGTTCTGCACCGCATCTCCAAGATGTGTTGGATGTGGTGGGTGCAAATTTTTTGTATCTGCACTGGAGGTTCTATAACAATTTGATTTTATCTTGTAGCCATTTTCCTGAATTGCCAAGTTTACAGAGCCTTTGTGAATGTTGGAATGGATGTGTTCCCATGCCTCAGCAGACAAGTCCAGGGCTAGGTCTTCTTCTCATGCCGTTCAGGCCTTCTCAGTATCAGATGGTTGATAAGAAAATAAGAGAGCATATACAGTTGCAAGAAAAAGTATGTGAACCCCTTGGGATTACGTGGAGTTTTGCATGAATTGGGCATAAAATGTGCTCTGAACGTCATCTAAGTCACAACAATAGAAAAACACAGTCTGCTGAACATAATACTACACAAACATTAGATGTTGCCATGGTTTAATTGCACATAACATGTAAACATTCACAGTGCAGGGAGGAAAATGTATGTGAACCTTTGGACTTAATAACTGGTTGACCCTCCTTTTGGCAGCAATAACCTCAACCAAACGTTTCCTGTAGTTGCAGATCAGACCTGCACAACGATCTGGAGTCATTTTGGACCACTCCTCTTCACAAAACTGTTTCAGTGTAGCAATATTCTTGGGATGTCTGGTGTGAATCGCTCTCTTAAGGTCATGCCACAGCATTTCAATCGGGTTGAGGTCAGGACTCTGACTGGGCCACTCCAGAAGGCGTATTCTGTGCTGTTGCAGCCATTGTTTTTTTTGAATGACTTGTATGCTTTGGGTCATTGTCCTGTTGCATCACCCATCCTGTGCGGAGCTTCAGTTGGCGGACAGATGGTCGTACGTTTTCCTGCAAAATGTCTTGATAAACTCTGGAATTCATTTTCCCATCAATGACAACAATCCGTCCAGGCCCTGAGGCAGCAAAGCAGCCCCAAACCATGATGCTCCCTCCGCCATGTTTCACAGTGGGGATGAGGTTTTGATGTTGGTGTGCTGTGCCTTTTTTTCTCCACACATAGTGTTGTGTGTTCTTCCCAAACAACTCAATCTTGGTTTCATCTGTCCACAGTATATTTTGCCAGTAGTGCTGTGGAACATCCAGGTACTCTTTTGCAAACTTTAAACGTGCTGCAATATTCTTTTTGGACAGCAATGGCTTCCTCCGTTGTGTCCTCCCATGTACTCCATTCTTGTTTAATGTTTTCCTTATTATAGATGTGTCAACAAAAATGTTAGCATGTGCCAGAGATTTCTGTAGGTCTTTAGCTGACACTCTGGGATTCTTCTTTACCTCATGCAGCATTCTGCGCTGTGCTCTTGCAGTCATTTTTACAGGACAACCACGCCTAGGGAGAGTAGCAACAGTGCTAAACTTTCTCCATTTGTAGACAGTCTGTCTTACCGTGGACACGAACATCAAGGCTTTTGGAGATACTTTTGTAACCCTTTCCAGCTTCATGCAAGTCAACAATTCTTGATCGTAGGTCTTCTGAGAGCTCTTTTCTGCGAGGCATGGTTCACATCAGACAGTGCTTCTTGAAACCAGTAAACCCAAAACAGGTGTGTGTTTTTTAAGGGCAGGACAGCTGTCAGCAACAC